CGTGTTTTTATTTTCATTCTTATTTTCGTTTTTTGCTCACTCTTGGTTCCTGTTTATTTCTTATCTTTATTTCCAAATTTATTCGCCTTTACATTTCTCGTTTTCATTTTGGTCCGCATTTTCTTTCCATTTTGTCTTTATTCTCGTCAAAATCTTCGTCTTCGTTCACCTCCTCTCAGTCTCGTTCTAGTCTCGCCTTAATTCTCACTCTATAGTTCTAATCTTGGTTCTTATTTTGTTTATATTCTTGTCCTTATTCCCAATTTGTTCCCATTTTCTTTCAGTTTTGTTTCTATTCTAGTCAAAATCTCCGTTTCCGTTTCCATTAATGTTTTAATTTTCGTTTTCATTCTCTTTCTCATACTTGTTCTCAATCTCATTCTAGCCTCGCTTTAATTCCCATTTTGTTTGTTTTCTCATCTTTTTCGTGTTTTAATTCCCATTCTCATTCACGTTCTTTACCTTCATTTTGCTTTAGTTCTAATTTTGGTTCTTATTTCGTTTATAGTCTTGTTCTTAATCCCAATTTCATTCTCGCTACATTTATCGTTTTCATTTTGGTTCCAATTTTGTTCCCATTTTTCTTTGCTTCCTGTTCTTACTCTCGGCCACATGTTCATTATCGTTTTCATTGACATTCTAATTTTGGTTTTCGATCTTTATCTCCTTGTTCTTATTCCTGTTTTCATTCTCGTTATTTTTCTCGTTTTCATTGTGGTCCTCATTTTCTTCCAATTTTCTTTCATTTTTGTTTTTATTCTCGTCGCTATCTTCGTTATCGTTTTCATTAACCTTTCAATTTTCGTCCTCGTTCTCTTTCTCGTTCCCATTTTCGTTCTTTACGTTCATCTCACTATAGTTCAAATCTGAGTTCTTATTTTGTTTATGTTCATGTTCTTATTCCCAGTTTGTTCCCTTTTTCTTTCCATTTTTCTTTCATTTTTGTTCTTATTCTCGCCAATATCTTCGATCTCGTTGTCATTGACATTCTCAATTTTCGTCGTAATCGCGTTTTCATTTTTGTTTTCATTCGTGTTCTCATTCTTGTTCTCATTCTTTTTCTTATTCTTGTTCTCATTTTTGTTCTCATTCTTGTTCTCATTCTCATTCTCATTTTTGTATTCAGTCTCGTTTTAATCACGTTTTACTTCTCTTTGTCGTTTATTTTCTCATCCTTGATTGGTTTTACTCCTCATTCTCATTCTCGTTCTTTACATTGACATAATTCTAGTTCTAATTTCGATTCTTATTTTATTTATCTATATTCTTGTTCTTATTACCGACTTCATTCTTGTTGTATTTCTGTTTTTCTTCTGGGCTCCTTTTCTTCCCATTTTTCTTTAATTCTTGTTGTTATTCTCGTCCATATGTTCGTTCTTGTTTTTGTTGATATTCTAATTTTCGTCCTCAGTTCTCATTCTCATTCTTATTATCAATCTCGTTCTAGTCTCGGTTTAATTCTCGTTCTTTACATTCATCTTATTTTATTTATATTCTTGTTCTAATCCTGTTTTTATTCTCGCTGTATTTCTCGTTTTCCTTTTGGTTCTCATTTTTTCCATTTTTCTTTCATTCTTGTTCTTATTCTCGTCCATATGTTCGGTCTCGTTTTTCTTCTCTTTCATTTTCTTGTTCTAAATCTTGTTCTATTCTCTCTTTAAGTCCCAATCACGTTTGTTTTCTTGTCTTCGATCGCGTTTTCCTTCTCATTCTCATTCTCGTTCTTTACTTTTATATCATATTTCGTTTATATTCCTATTCTTATTCCAAATTTCATTCTCATCGCATTTGTTGTTTTCATTTTGGTTCCCACTTTCTTCCCATTTTTTGTTTGATCTTCTTCTTATTCTTGTCCATATGTTCATTCTTGCTTTCGTTGACATTTTAATTTTGATTCTAGTTCTCTTTCTCACTCTTGTTCTCGTTCTTTAATTTCATCCCACTCTAATGCTAATTTTGGTTTTATTTTATTTATATCTTGCTTTACTTCCCATTCTCATTCTTTCGATTTACATTGTTCGAGTTCTAATTTTGATTCTTTTTTTACATATTTATTCTTCTTATTATTATCTTCGTCGTGTTTTACTTTGCATTATCATTCTCGATCTTCACATCCATCTTATTTAATTTATATTCTTGTTCTTATTCCTCTTTTCATTCTCGTTCTACTTCTTGTTTTCATTTTGGTTCTTATTTTTCTCGCTTTTTTTAATTTTTGTCCTCATTCTTATTCATATTCTTGTTCTAAATCTCGTTCTAGTTTCGCTTTAATTCTCAGTCTCGTTTGTTTTCTCATTTTTCTTTCGTTCTTGTTATTCTCGTCCATATGTTTGTTCTACATTTTATTGACATTCAAATTTTGGTTCTCGTTCTCTTTCTCATTCTTGTTCTCGTTCTTTACATTCATCTCGTTCTTATTCTAATTTTCATTCTCACTGTATTTCTGGTTATCATTTTGGCTCCTATTTTTTTCGTTTTTCTTTCATTCTTGTTCTTATTCTTATTCGTAGATTCATTCTCATTTTTGTTGATAATCTAATTTTGGTCCTCGTTCTTTTTCTTTCTGGTTCTAAATTTCGTTCTAGTTTCGCTTTAATTCCCTTTCCTGTTTGTTTTCTCATCTTCGATAGTGTTTCATTCTTCCTCTCATTCTCGTTCTTTACTCAGTTTAGTTTTAGTTAGTACTTATTTTGTTTATTTTTTATTCTTATTCTCAATTTCATTCTCGTTGCATTTCTCGTTGTTTTTTTGACCCTCATTTTCTACCCATTTTTTTTCATTTTTGTTCTTATTCTCGTCAATATCTTCGTTGACATTCTAATTTTCGTCTTCGTTTTCTTTCTCTTTCTTGATCTCATTCTTGTCCTAGTCTCGTTTTAATTCCCATTTTCGTTTGTTCTCCTATATTTTCACCCTCGTCCTCTGCGTTCATCTCGCTTTAGTTCTAATCTTGGTTCTTATTTCGTTTTTATTCTCGTTCTGTACATTCATCTCACTCTTGTTCTAATTTTAGGTTTTATTTTATTTATATTCGCGTTTTTATTCCCATTTTCAATTTCTTGGTATTTCTGGTTTTAATTTTGGTTCTCATTTTTCACGTTTTTCTTTCGTTTTTCGTCCTCGTTCTTTGTCACTTCATCCTTCTAAATCTCGTTCTAATCTTCGTTTAATTGTCATTCCCTTTTGTTTTCTTTTCTTCGATCGTGTTTTCATTCTCATTCTCATTCCCGTTTTTTACATTCACATCACTCTAGTTCTAATTTTGATTCTTGTTTTATTAATATTCTTGTTCTTATTACCTATTTCATTCTCGTTGTAGTTCTGGTTTTCATCTTGGTTCACATTTTTTACCATTTTTCGTTCTCGTTCTTGTTCTCTTTTATTTTCTTGTTCTAAATCCTGTTCTAATCTCGCTTTAATTCCCATTCTCGTTTGCCTTCTCATCTTCGATCGTGTTTTCCTTCACATTCTCCTTCTTGTTCTTTACGTTCATCTTATTTCATTTATATTCGTGTTCTTTCCTGTTTTCATTCACGTTGTATTGCTTTTTTTCCCTTTGGTTCTCATCATCTTTCCCCGTTTTTCTTACATTATTCTTATTCTCATCCATATGTTCGTTCTCGTTTTTGTTGATATTCTAATTTTCGTTCTCAGTTCTCTTTCTCATTCTTGTTCTTAATCTCGTTTAGTCTCGGTTTAATTTTCATTCTCGTTCTTTACATTCATTTTATTTTATTTATATTATTTTTTTTATTCCTGTTTATATTTTCGTTGCATTCTCGTTTTCATTTTTCTCGTTTTTCTTACATTCTTGTTCTTATGCTCATACATATGTTCGTTTTCGTTTTTGTTGTTATTCTGATTTAGTCTTCAATTCTCCTTCTCGTTCTTTACATTCATCGCATTCTAGTGCTAATTTTGATTCTTATTTTATTTATTTATATTTTTGTTCTTGTTCCCGTTCTATTTCTCCTTCTCATTCTCACTCTTTAATTGTTCTTCTACTCTATTCCATTCTCGTTTGTATTCGTTTTGACATTCTCTTTCTTGGTTTAATTCATTTTCATACTATCGTTCTGTAATTCTAAGTTTAATTCTCAAGTTCCTTCTACTCTTGTTTTTATTCTTGTTCATAGTTGCGTTTCAGTCGCGTTTTCGTTGTCAATTTAATATCCGTTCTTCTCATTGACTCCTATTTCTTTTTCTTCTTCTAATTTTTATTCTCATTTTCTTTTTTTGGTGAGCCGAAAAATAATAGAACCGTCAAAAAAGTCGAAAAACTGTAACATAGGAAGATAGAAAAATTGAAAAATTAAATATCGAGAAACTGAAGTCTAAAATTGAAAAATCGGAAAATTAAAAAGTGAAAAATTGCAAATCGAAAAATAAAATTGAAAAATCCAAACATTTAAAAATTTGACACTGAAAAAAAAGCTAGAAAATTAGAACATTGAAAAACCGAAAAATTGCAAAATCTAGAAAATGAAAAATTCAAAATTTGGAAAATAGAAACACTGATATAAAAGAATAAAAAAATTGAAGAACTGAAAAATTCAAGTCAAAAAATCTGCAGGAGTATTATTTCCCCACTGATTTTTACTTTATAGAGGTCATCAGAAAACAATTTCTAAAATTTAGGAAACCCTGAGGATTTACAAACCTGTTGTGTCACTCGTTTAGAATTCTCACCGAATTAACGACCTTTAAAAAAAACTAACAGTAAATTTTAAACTTTAAGCAAGCTATTTTTTCCCCAATATCTCCAATTCCCGGCCTACCCCTGTTAACATCCACCGCCCCCTCACTACGCATCTCTTCCGAATGACGCCTTCCGAAGGCGTAGGACTTTCTCGCGTAAGCAGCCACCATCGAAAAAAATTTCCAATAATTGGCCCAATTTCCATTCAGCGCTAAATCAGCCAGTCTTACGACGCTACTACAAAAACGTTTTTTTCAACAAGTAGAAGTCTCAATGAGGGAAGAATTAAGTTACAGTTACTATGACGCCTGTCCCGACGTCTGGCACTAGGAGGTCACAGTTGCCATTGATGTCTAAAGCTCCAACAGAGTCGGTCGTCTCTTAGTCTACGTTAACCATCCCCAGAGCTGGACTGGCCCCTTAACCTCAATACGTTTTTTCAGGGGGGTGTTCGTGGGGTTGCGAGAACCGTCTGGGAGCGTTTAGGGGAACGGACGCGAAGAAGAGGAGCCGATTGGTAATTGGGGGCCTGTGGAGGCAGGACAATTGCGGTTTTTTCGGGAGAGCTGGGACGTAAATAGAATCCGGGGTGGGTAGGGTAGTCAATGAATGTAGTAGTGGTTTGACGTATTTCATTTTTAATACACTTTTTTATTTAATATTTGTTTATTATTTATTTTAATGGATGCAGCGAGTCAATAGGAGTGAGCGAAGCTCCAGACACGTTTAATGTACAACGTACTAAGTATAATAAAAACTTGAACATTTATTCTTGATTTTAATACTTCGAAAATACTTTTCTTAATGAAGTCGCGACGATCGACAGACAAACGGACGGAAACGGGAAATCTGAAATCTATGGTTCGTCTTTCCAATTTTTCTTCGCTCGGGAGTTGTGAGCGAACAAAATGCATAGAAATGAGTGTGGGTGTAATTTTCGCGCGGCTTTATTGCATGGAAATATGAAATGATCCGGCCCTGGAACAACCCCTCCAGAGCAGGATAAACGGAACCACGATATTTTCTAGGTCAGAAGATTCATTGTCACCGCCTACTCGTAACATAATGCACGATATTTGATCTAGTAAACTAAAAGGACTCTCGCGTTTAACAAATAAGTTGTCGCATTTGAGCGTTTTCCGTCTGAAATTTTTAAGGACGACTCAACACAAAATTTACGACGTAATTGGACATTAATATTTTGATTTAAAATCAGTTTGTAAACTCTCAAATTCAATGTGTAAATTGGAAGTGTTCTACTAAGCAAAATGTTGGTTTAATGATTTGTTGGATGACGTCATCAGTTTTGGGGGGGATGAACGTGAAGATGGCAAGTCATTGATGGACTCGGTTTTACGTGAAGCTACTTAAAACGAGTCACGATTTTCAAGAAGAAAAACACAAAAAATTTGGAAAATACAATTCTTCCAAAAATTTAAATTTTTTATCCATACTGAATTTCAAAACTGTGAGAAAAACAAAATCATAAAATTTTTCTTTCTTTGATAAAAAACAAAAATTTGACGATTTCCCCACCTTTAAATTGTTAATACGTGAACCTTAAAATATGGCAAGGTTTTATGAGAAAAAATGTTTGTGGTAAATTTTAACCAGAACTAGAACGAGAAAGAGGGTGAGAACGAAAATGAGAATGGGGACGAGAATGAGGACTAGAATGAGGACGAGAATAAGAACGAGATTGAGAAGGAGAATGAGAAAGGGAATGACCAAGGATAATGAGAAGGGGAATTAGAAGGATAGTGAGAAGGAGAATTAGAACGCGAATGAGAGCTACAAGGGGAACGAGAATCGGCACCAGAATGGGAACGTGCATGAAAACGAGATTGGAAACAAGAATGGAAACGAGAATGAGCTGAAGAATGGGGACGAGGACGGGAACGAGAATGGCAAAGAGAACGGGATCAAGAATGAGAGGACGAGAATAAGGACTAGAATGAGAACTCATTCTCGTCCTAATTCTCCATCACATTCTCTTTCTCATTATCATCCTCATTCTCGACCTTATTTTCGTCCTCTTTCTCGTCATCATTTTCGTCCCCACTATCCTCTTCATTATCGTACTCAATTTCGTCCTTTGTTTGGTTCTCATTCTCGTCCTCATGCTCGTCCCCAATCACGTTCTCATTCTCGTGCTCATTCGCGTCCTAATACTCGTTCCCATAGTCGGTCCCGTCCTCATTCTTGTTGTCGGTCTCATTCTCGTTCTCATTTTTTTCTCCACATTCTCGTCCTTATTCTTGGCCTCATTCTCGTCCTCATTCTCCACTTAATTCTCGTCCTCATTCTCGCCCTAGTTCTGGTCTTCATTTTCGTCCTCATTTGCGTTCTCTTTCTCGTCCTAATACTCGTCTCCGTACTCGTTCTCTTTGTCGTTCTAGTTCTTGTTCTCGTTCTCATTGTCGTTCTCATTTTCCTCCTCATTCTCGTCCTCATTTTCATCCTAATTTACGTTTACTCTGTTTCTCTCTCTCCTTCTACTTCTCGCTCTCGTTCTTATTCTCGCTCTCATTCTCCTCCTCATTCACGTTCTCATTCTCGTCCTCATGCTCATCTTCATTCCCCTCTTAATTCTCGTCCTAGTTCTGGTCCTCATTTTGGTCCTCATTCTCGTTCTCGTTTTCGTCCTTCTTCTCCTCCTCATTCTCATCTCATTCTGCTCTTTATTTTCGCCCCTATTTTCACCTTCATTCTACTTCTTGTTCTCGTTCTCATTCTCGTTCTCATTTTTTTCTCCTCATTCTCCTCCTTCTTCTCGGCCTCATTCTCGTCCTCGTTCTCCTCTTAATTCTCGTCCTCATTCTCGCCCTAGTTCTGGTCTTCATTTTCGTCCTCATTTTCGTCCTCTTTCTCGTCATAATACTCGTTGCCGTACTCGGTCCCGTCCTCGTTCCCATTGTCGTTCTAGTTCTTGTTCTCGTTCTCATTCTCGTTCTTATTCTCGTTCCCATTCTCGTTCTCATTCTCGTCCTAATACTCGGTTCCCGTACTCGGTCCCGTCCTCGTTCTCTTTGTCGTTCTAGTTCTTGTTCTCGGTCTCATTCTCGTTCTCATTTTTTTCTCCTCATTTTCGTCCTTATTCTTGGCCTCATTCTCGTCCTCATTCCCCTCTTAATCTCATCCTCATTCTCGCCCTAGTTCTGGTCTTCATTTTCGTCCTCTTTCTCGTCCTAATAGTCGTTCCCGTACTCGGTCCCGTCCTCGTTCCTTTTGTCGTTGTAGTTCTTGTTCTCGTTCTCATTCTCGTTTTCATTCTCGTTCTCATTCTCGTCCTCATTCTCGTCCTGATTCTCGTCCTCATTCTAGTCCTAATACTCGTTCCTGTACTCGGTCCCGTCCTCGTTCTCTTTGTTGTGCTTGTTTTCGTTCTCATTCTCGTTCTCATTCTCGTCCTCATTCTCGTGCGTCCTCGTTCTTCTCTTAAATCTCTTCCTCATTTTCGTCCTCATTTTCATCCTAATTTACTATCCCGTACTCAGTCCCGTCCTTGTTCTCTTTGTCGTTTTTTCTGATTGTCTTGCTCGTTTTCTTTCTTATTTTGTTTCTTTTTCTCCTTCTACTTCTCGTTCTCGTTCTTTGTCTCGCTCTCATTCTTGTCCTCATTCACGTTCTCATTCTCGTCCCCATTTTCGTCCTCATTCTCGTCCTCATTCTTGTCCTCATTCTCGTCCTTATTCTCATCCTCATTCTCGTCCTCATGCTCGTTCTCATTCTCGTCCTCATTCTCGTCTTCATTCTCCTTTTAATTCTCGTCCTAGTTATGGTCCTCATTTTGGTCCTCATTCTCGTTCTCGTTTTCGTCCTTATTCTTCTCCTCATTCTCATCTCATTCTGCTCTTTATTTTCGTCCCCATTTTCGCCTTCATTCTCGTTCTCATTCCAGTTCTCTTTCTCGTTCTACGAAAAGTAGGACGAAAACGAGAAATGAGGACGAGAACGGAAACGGGAACGAAGACGATAACGGAGACGAAGACAAGAACGAGAACGAGAACAATAATGAGAGCGAGAATGGGAACGAGAATGATAACGAAAACGATGATGAAAATGGGGACAAGAATGAGGATGAAAATGAGGACGAGAATGAAGATGAAAATGAGTACGAGAATTAGAACGAGAATGTGGACGAGAATGAAAACGAGAAAGGGAACGACAACGATGACGAGGACGACGACGAGAATGAGGGCGAGAATGGGAACAAGAATGGAAACGAGAATGATAAAGAGAATGAGAACGAGATTAGGATCGAGAATTAGGACGAGAATGAGGAAGAGAATGGAAACCAGAATGATAAAGAGAATGGAAACGAGAATGGGATTGAGAATGAAGACGAAAATGAGGAAGAAAAAGAGAATGCGGAAGAGGATGAGCACGAGGACCAGAACGAGGATGAGAACGTAAAGGGAGGAAAATGACAATGGAAATTACCAGAAGGAAGAAACTAGAACGAGAACCAGAACGAGAACTAGAACGAGAACTAGAACGAGAAGTAGAACGAGAACTAGAACGAGAACTAGAACGAGAACTAGGACGAGAACTAGAACGAGAACTAGAACTAGAACTAGAACGAGAAATAAAACGAGATCAATAACGTGAACTAGAACGATAACGAGAACGAGAAATAGAACGAGAACTAGAGCGAGAACTAAAACGAGAATTAGAACGAGAACGAACGAGAACTAGAACTGGAACTGGAATGAGGAAAAGTCGAAAACTAGAATGAGAAAGAGAATGAGAACGGGAACTAAAGCGCGAACGAGTAGAAAGTAGAGAATGAGGACGAGAATGAGAACAAAAATGAGATGTCTTCGTTCCCGTTTCCGTTCTCGTCCTCATTCTCGTTCTCGTTTTCGTCCTACTTCTCGTAGAACGAGAACGAGAACGAGAATGAAGGCGAAAATGGGGACGAAAATAAAGAGTAGAATGAGATGAGAATGAGGAGAATAAGGACGAAAACGAGAACGAGAATGAGGACCAAAATGAGGACCAGAACTAGGACGAGAATTAAGAAGAGAATGAAGACGAGAATGATGACGAGAATGAAGACGAAAATGACAACAAGAATGACGACGAGAAGGGCGACGAGAATGGGAACCAGAACAGGAACAAGAATAAAAATGAGAATGTAAACGAAAATGGGATCAAGAAAGAGGACGAGAATGAGGAAGATGATGAGGACCAGCATAGGGAAGACAATGGGAACGAGAATCGGAACGAGAATGGGATTCAGAAAGAGAACAAAAGCAAGGAAGAGAATGGAAACGAGTACAAGAACGAGAATGAGGAAAAGAAAGGGGACGAGAATGAGAATAAGGACGAGAATGAAGACGAGAATGAGGTCGAAAGTGAGGACGAAGAGTGAGGATGAGAATGAGGACGAAAATAAGGACTAGAATGGGGACGAAAATGGGAACGAGAACAAAAACTAGGACGAGAACTAAAACAAGAAAGAAAATAAGAACGGGAACGGGTACGGGAACGAAAATGAGGTCAAGAATGAGAACGAGAACGAAGATGAGGATGGGCGAGAACGAGGATGAAGACGGACGAGAACGAAGATGAGAACGTAAAGGGAGGAAAGTGTCAACGGAAATTATCAGAAGGAAGAAACTAGAACAAAAACTATCACGAGAACTAGAACGAGAACTGGAACCAGAACTGGAACGAGGACTAAAACGGGAACTAGGAGAAGAACTAGAACTAGCAGGAGGAAGAGACAAAAACTAGAACGAGAAAGAGAACGAGAACGGAAACTAAAACGGGAGGGAGTACGGGAACGAGTAACGTAGAGAATGAAGACAAAAATGAGAACCAGATTGGGATCGAGAATGGGAACGAGAGTGGGAATGAGAATGAAAACGGGAATGGGATCGAGAAATAGGACGAAAATAAGGACGAGAATGGAAACGAGAACGAGAACTACAACGAGAAAGAGAACGAGAATGGGAACGAGAATGAGGAAGGGAATATGAGAACTAGAACGAGAAAGAGAGCGAGAACGGCAACGAATATGGGGACGAGAATGAGGTAGAGAAAGAAGACGAGAATTAGGACTATAATAAGAATGAGAATGAGGATGAGAATCAGGACGTGGATAAGGACTAGAATGAGGACAAGAATCAAGACGAGAGTGGAGACGAGAATATGATCGAGAATGAGGAACAGAATAAGAACTAGAACGAAAATGCGATCGAGAACGAGGACGAGGATAAAGACGAGAATGAGTAAGATAATGAGGATGAAAATGAGGATGAAAATGGAAACTAGAATGAAGACGAGAATGACAACGATAATAAAATCAAGCATTTTTAAGAACACGAGGACGAGAATGAGGACGAGAATGAGAGCAGGGATGAGAACGAGAATTAGAACGAGAATGAGAACAAGAATGGGAACAAGAGTGGGAACGAAATTGGAAACAAGAATAGGAACGAGAATGAGGACAAAATTGAGAACGATAATGAGGAACAGAATGAGAACTAGAATGAGAAAGAGAATGAAGGGGAGATTGGGGACGAGAATGAGGACGAGAATAAAAACTAGAATGACAACGATAGTGGGATCAAGAATGAAGAACAGAATGAAGACGAGAATAAGGACGAGAATGAGGTCGACAATGAGGACGAGAATGAGAACGAGAACGAGAATGAGGACAGATTGAATACGACAACGAGGACAAGAAGGAGACCGAGAACTAGAACGAGGATTAGGACGAGGACGAGAACAAGATCGGGAATCAAAACGAGAATGGGAACTAGAATGGGAATGAAAATGGGAACGAGAATGGGAACAAGAGTGAGGACGAGAATGAAGACGAGAATGCAAACGACAATAGGGACGAGAATGAGAATTAAAATGAAGACGAGAATGAGGATGAGAATGAGGTCGAAAAAGTGGACGAAAATGAGAACGAGAATGAGGACAGAATGAAAACGAGAAGGAGGACGAAAAGAATAACGAGAATTAGGACGAGAACGAGAAAGAGATCGGGGACGAGAACGAAGACGAGAACGAGAATGAGAGCGGGAATGAGAACGAGAATGGGAACAAGAATGGGAACGAGAGTGAGGACGCGAATGAAGACGAGAATGAAAACGAGAATGGGGACGAGAATGAGAATGAGAATAAGGACGAGAATGAGGATGAGACTGAGGTCGAGAATGAGGACGAGAATGCGAAATAGAATGAGGACGAGAATGTGGATGTGAATGGGAACGAAAATGGAATTGAGAATGCGGACGAAAATGAGGATAATAATGAGAATTTGGACGGGAATGAAGACGAAAATGATTACTAGAATGAGGACAAAAATGAGAACGAGAATGAGGACGGACGAGATCGAGGATGAGAACAAGGACGAGAACGACAACGAGATGGAGAACGTAAAGGGGGAAAAGTCGCAATGGAAATTACCAGAGGAAAAAATAAGAATGAGAGTCAATACAGGAACGAGGATAAGCAGTAGAATACGAAGAATTAGCTTTTGAACGTGGATTAGAACGTGAAGGGGAATATTAACACGAAGGACAATGCAGCGGAAAAAATTAACAAGAATTATAGAGTCATATTTAAAATGAACGAATGAATGAATAAATGAATGAAAACGAAATAAGAGGAATACGAGAATGTAACTAAAGTAAAAATCAAAATCAGAACTATAGTGAGAAGGATTGTAAAGGGCTAGAATGACAATGAAAAGTAGTAAAGAACGAGAATGGGAATAGGAAAAATGCAAACGAAAATCGGAAAACAAATGAGAATCAAAATCATAACGAAAATTGGAACAAAAATTAGAATGAAATTGAAAATAAGAATAACAACAAGAAGGAATTAAAATGACAACGAAAGATGTGAAAAAGGAAGGGAACGGTGATAATTTGAAAACTAAAAATGTGGACGGAAATTAGAGCGAAAACAAGAATGAGGAGAAAATCAATAAGAAGACGAAAGAGAATAGTACCAAATAAACAAGATACTACTAATAACAACGATAAAGACAAGAACAAATATGAAAATTAGAAAGAGATTGAGAACAAACATTTGGTCCAGAATAAGAACGAGAACGGAAGGAAAATGAAAATCAAAACCATAATTACAATAACAGATTTGTGAAACACGAGAATGTGAACGAGAATTAGAATGAAAACGAGATACAGCGAAAACAGACCGAGAATGGAAAGAAGAATACGAACAAGAATATACAGTGTATTTGATCCAGTAAGCTAAAAGACCTCTCGCGTTTAAAAATAAGTTTGAGTGTTTTCCTTTGAGAACAGCTCAACAGGAAATGTACAAGTGTAATTGCCCCTTACATATTCGCATTTCCGCCCGGAATAATTTATTATAAATTCATTGCAAATATTATACAACAATAGTCGTTGAATGGCGATTTGAAATTCAAATCCGAAATCTCGTGCCATGTGGACATATCGTCAGTTTGATTGATATCATTTCCGTCGCGGGACGCCCGGATTATTCAGGAAGGATAAGGTAATGACGAAACGTCAAACATCCGACCACAGGTGGCGCACGAACTAAACTTACCTATGCAGACGCTGCAGAAAATCGAAAATCCCTAGTGTGCGTGTCGCTGCAACGAATTTCACGGGGTGAAGGTTTCGAATCTGAATTTTAAATTTTCGAATTACGTAACATGAAAATTTCACGCTGCTAGGTGCATGGGCCGGTGTACCGAGAATTCGGTGATAAAGTACACGAATCCATCATCATCGCGATCATAACGTTATACAGGGTGTTCTTTTTGCTCGACGCGGGGGGACAAATTGATGGGTTCGGGCGATCCCATCGCAAAACGGACCATTAATTTTTATTGGCCCATCATGTTTAAGATCTTTTTTGCGCTACTAACGGTTGATAGCTCGTAAAATGTAATCGCTACTTTAATCGTTTCGGAATTTTGATTTTTTGGCGCTTCGTGGCCTTCTTGTTTTGTGCCGAGGTGGAAGATTGGGCGGCGAGGTTTAACGGACGGTTAAGCCGAAATTGCCGAATTTGGGGGCATGGCCGTGCTCTGAGTGGCACATTTATTCATAATTCGGTGCAGGTTTGGCTCGAGGCGACGGTACGTACATATTGAGATGATTTCGAGCTTCGTTTTCGACAACGAGATTCGAATTATCGTACGGCAAGAATACGACGAGGTTCTTATTCGCGAATTTTTTACTGATTCAGTTCTAATCTACAATTATTTTGGTTTATAATTAGCTTGTAAACTCTCTAATTCACTATATAAGTTAAAAGTATTCTGCTAAAAATATGCTTGTTTAATAATTTCTTGGAGTGACGTCATCAGTTTGTTAGGTGGGGTGAATAAATACAATTTCCTTCATATTTTGCCTCCAATAAAACGAAGTTAGTCAAAATTGAAAAACTAGCAATCTGAGTAAAAAAAATTGCCAAGAAAATCACCCTGTATAAATGAAATCAAATGTTTCCCCATTATTAATTAAACGTATAAGATACTTAATACGAAAAATTAAAAATTTATTTTTGACATAGTGATTAAACAAGTAAGAACAAGAATATAAATAAAATAAGAATCAAAATAAGCACAAGAATGAGAAAATTGTCAAAAAGAAGAATGAGAATGGGCAAGAAAACACGATTTAGAATGAGAAAATAAAATGAGAACTAGAACGAGAAAGAGAACGGGAATGAGAACAAGAATGAGGACGAAAATGGGAAAGAGAAGTGAAACGAGAATGAGGACGTGAATTAAAACGAGAATAAGGACGAGAATGAAAACCAGAATGAGCACACGAATGACAATGAGAACGAGAACTAAAATGGCAAAGAGAACAGGAAAGAGAATTAAGACAGGAATGAGGACGAGAAGGAGGACGAAAATAGGGACGAAAATGAGGACGAGAATGAGAATGAAAATGAGGACGAGAGTGAGGACGCAAATAGAAGACAAGAAAGAGGGCGAGAATGACGACCAGGATGAGAACTCGAAAGAGAACTCGAACGGGAATTAGAACTAGAAAAAGAACGAGGACGGAAACGTGAACGAGAATAGGGATGATAATGAGAATGAGAATAAGTTCGAGAACTGGAACGAGAACTAGGCCGAGAACTAAAACGAGAAAAATAAAATAAGAACCAAAATTAGAACAATAATAAGAAAATTATCAAGAAGAAGAACGAGAATGAAAACGAAAACGAAACCAATAGACGAGAATAGAAGAAAATCAAAACTAGAATTAAGATGAAAAACTACGGAAAAAAGAGTGAGAGCGTGAGTTAGAATGATTAAGAAAAATAGAATCAAGAACGAGAAAAAAAAAATGAAAATGGAAACAACAATAAACAGAAAATAAGACCGAATATTAGAACTAAAGT